ACTGAAGTCACAAACTAAATGGATCAAACAATCCCAAAATACCAGGAATTTGCCATAAATTTGTACCAAGCCACCAACAAACCAAAAGATGCATGGTCTGCATGAATCTTTTTTGTAACAAACAATAACCATATTTAGCCAAAAATGCAAACCACAGAAATTTGAAATCATGGTTTGACCTTATTTAACTTTTTTAGCTCTAGGCTAGAAAATAAATTTCAACTCAGAAGGAGATGTAGGCCAACAACCAACTCTCCCCAAATAATATTAATCATCCAGTTATTAAAGCTGTCATCTGTGCATATATTCCCAAATGGAATCTTATAGAACTATGACATGCTTCTTTAACAAATGGAAAATGTTGATACATAAAGCATTAACGGTAGCCTCACAGAAAATGGGCGCTCCCTAAAAAGTTGTTTTACAAACAGATGGATGAACCAGGTGCTGCAGAAATAGAAAAAACATGTACAGTAGCAGCCATTCAAAATGACTCTTTCCAGTCAAACGCCAGCCGGATGGCAACCCACTTCCCTGCAACTTTTCCCTGAATTACAGGGTCTAACCAGGAGATGACGCTTCTCTTTAGATCTTAATGTCCACAAATCATGACAGAAAATATTTTAGTACAAATATTTATATCTAAGAAGGAATTGTAGAGTGACAGCCAAGGGCCAATCAAGGGAAGTTGGGAAATTTTGAATGGCTACTATTGTACAAATCATTACTATGCTTGCTATTTCTTATTTAAAATAATGCATCCATCTTGATCTGTTGTGGAGGATGCATTAAAAACCTTTTCAAAATATTTTTCTGTATTTATTTAATGCATTTGGTGAAAATTACTTATTCAGATTTGAATTTATTGATTTTGGACTCGACTTAGAGACATGGCTTGAGACTTCAGACCTGCTTGACTTAAAAAAATTGTTAATCCCAGCTTTGGATGTTTGAATTTATGGAGGCTTTTCAAGCAAACTGATATCAGCGCCGGCGAGTCTATAGTAAATGAATGCAGAAAATTCAAATGCTACATTGCTTGCATCGTCCACAAACCTCCACTTTGGACTAAAGGCATTGCCATGTTGAAAGTCACAGTATGGTGTTTATGAAGCCATGATCAGTAGTGGTTCTGCTAATGTTCATGCATCATCCTCTTCATCTCTTTCATTTCCCAGGGTGTCGGCATGGCTAACAAAGGTCCATCCTACGGCATGAGCCGGCAGGTTCAGGATAAGATCGACAGCAAGTATGACCCTGAGCTGGAGCAGATCCTGGTGGAGTGGATCAACCGTCAGTGCGGCTCTGGCGTCGGGAGGCCGGAGGCCGGGAAACTCGGCTTCCAGGCCTGGCTAAAGGATGGATGCGTGAGTGTCCAGATCCTGTTTGATAAACCTCCATTAGCAGAGCACTCCTTCATTTAAACCTGTTTGCTGCCACCCTGCCAGGTCTTGAGTGAACTTATTAACAGTTTGTTTCCTGGAAACAAACCGATAAAGAAGATCCAGAGCTCGCCGATGGCTTTCAAGCAAATGGAGCAGATCTCTCAGTTCCTCAACGCCGCGGAGAAGTACGGTGTCACCAAAACTGACATGTTTCAGACTGTGGACCTCTGGGAAGGTCAGAGCGGGTTTCCCGTTGTGCTAACAGACCAGTTTTCAGTCAATACTTGGTACCTTAACCTCGATGTTATGTGTTTGTACAGGTAAGGACTTGGCAGCAGTGCAGCGGACCCTGTCAGCCTTAGGCAGCCTGGCCGTCACCAAGGAGGAAGGCACATACAATGGAGATCCTAACTGGTTCTTCAAGTGAGTCGAGCATAACCAACCAGGCCAGCCTAGATTAAAAATAAACAGTACAAAGGATAGCACTGACCATTTCAACTGTATGACGTTTCTGGGTGTTATGTTGCAGGAAAGCACAAGAAAACAAGCGAGAATTCAGCGAAGATCAGCTAAAGGCCGGGAAAAACGTGATCGGGCTGCAGATGGGGTCCAATAAGGGAGCCAGTCAGGAGGGCATGAGCTACGGCCGACCCCGACAGATCCTTTAAAATCTCTGATTTACAGATATGAGAAACCTCTTTAGCCCATTTCCCCCTGAAGCCTCAGATGCCCCAGACATCCTCCAGGAGCATTTGGATAACTAACTGGTCCTTTTCTTCTTAACTTTACCAATTTAGATTTTAGGTACTTCCTCCAACCTATAATCCTCTTTATTCTAACGCCCTGCATTGAGGTTTCTTTATGTTTCCTCTGTTGACCACTGCAGCATTGCTTTTTTTTCTACCAGCTGCAGTTTATGCAAAACAACCAAATGTCTTAATGTGCAGCAACAACCAAAAAAAAAAAATCTAATGCATTCTTTGAGAATTGGTTATTTTTGACATGTTTAAATTTTGTTATAAGCCCAAAGTCCATCAGATCCTAGACACTAAGATAAAGCGTCAGTTTATTTAGAGAAGATTTTCAAAATTGACAAACACAAGCAAAGAGTTTGCAGTTGGTCTTAAACTTTACTGCTACTGAATAGTTAAGTAAAAAGTCCCTTCTTACTTTGCTACACCTGCTGTGTCAGTATCAAAAGTTTTGTACATTGTCTTAATAAATAATGACTTTGACATACATTTGTGATTCTGGCTGATTCCAACTTAACCTTTGAGCTCTCCTACAAAGAATTATTGGACACCATTTAAACTGACTTGGTTGTTTTGTTCTGGTTTTTGTTGCGTTTTTTAGGTGCAACTGAAATGATTTAAGATGGTTAAGAAATGTTCATGCAAGTCTTTGGTTTGGGACAATTGGATTTATAAACTCAGGTGTGAAAAAAAGAAAAACAGGTTAATAAAACAGGTTAATACAGCATCAATGAATGAAGCAGGCGATAACTGCGCGTCTGCTGACAAATAAATAGGATTTGCATATCAGATTCTCTCTCTGTATTGTGATTAGGGTTGCAGCTAATGATTATTTTTGCCCAATTTATCAGCTGTTAATTTTATGATTAATAATTATAGAGGAAAGCGTTCCCTAAAGATTTTTTACAGAATGAAACCAGGTGAAACTAAAAGTTTTCCACTTGAGTTCTGGATAGAGCATATTTATAAGTATATATATATATTTTTTGTTACAATCTTGGTACAATTTCTGCTCTTAATGGGGTTCTCTGACAGCTAAAGACATATTTCAGCCTCTATAGTTTATGATTAAAATTACAAAATTAGTTATTTCAATAATCAATTAATTGTTTCAGCCCTAATTGTGATCCTCAACAAAAACTAAAAGAAAATAAATAAAAAAGAGTGGAAGACATATTCATAGTGATGCAATCAAATGGCCAAACAAGTTTTAGCTGCGAGGTTGTGGTTCCTGACGGCTGCTTAGTGAGGGATGAGTCTTTGGTGGAAGTTTAACTCTTGCTCCAGAACCACCAACAACCACATAGGGAAGTGTTTTTGGGAAATCTAGTTCTAAGTAACGGTGCATTCACTGACCAGAAAAAAAAGGCAGGAATTCCAACTTTCCAGTCATCCACATTCCAAATTAAGCTAAAACAGCTGTTTTTGGTTAGTAGTTTTCAGTCTATTCACACTTTAAGCAGAAATAGAAGAAAAAAATGGATCTATGTTAACTTCTGCCATGGCAAAGATTAAAGTATCCAACCTTAGAGAAATAAATTAGACCAGAAAGGAATAAAAAAAAATGGTTTAACTTTCTACAGGTGTAAGCATACATGCATCTTTCCAAGATAGTTAAGCCATTAATACAGAAGAGGATTAGGGCCAGTGATAAAAAAAAAGTTAACTGATTTTTAAATTTTATTTTAGTTTAGTATGGGAAAAAAGTCAGAATTCTGACTTTTTTCTCAGAATTCTGACTTTAATCTCAGAATTCTGACTTTAATCTCAGAATTCTGACTGAATTCTGACAATAAACAAGTCAGAATTCTGAGTTTGAAGTCAGAATTCTGCCTTTTTCCCCATGTTAAACTGAAATAAAATGTAAAAATCCGTTACCTTTTTTTTTTTTTCAGTGGCCCTAATCCTCTTCCGTACATTAAGACTGGAAATGGTAGCTGAGGAAAAAAAAATCTAACATTATGTTAATGTCTAAAGTGGAAGAAAGCTACTAATTTCTAGAAATTTAAACATTTAACACAAAAAAAAGTCATGAAATCTTTTGTCATTTTTTATATTGCTTTATTAAATTGAATAAAAAAATACAAAGTAAAAAAAGGCTTATCAGTTCCAATAAGTACTTAATTCATTTTATTCAACAATCTGCGACTTGGCCACCAAAACAGTTACCCTTTGGAAAAATTGTTCCTCGGCATATAAAAGCACCTGCAGCTTCGAATACATTCTTTTTTTTAAAATCCCATGATGCAGTCTGTACACAGCAAATCTCTTCTGCAGGCACAAATCTTTTGATATATTACAATTTATAAAAAGAAAAAAAATATACCAACAAACCCCAAGCTTAAAAAAAAAAAAATCCTACTTCAAGTTTTAATCAGATGTTCTTTAATAAACCCCTGATATATATAAAAAAAAAAAACCCAGATGTACAAATCTAAAGCAAGAAATTACAGATCAGATATCAAAAATTACAAGAGTACCCCTTTGAAAGTCACATTATATGAACACTTTTAAAAAGGAAGACCCTGGGTGTCACAAGTACAAACACTCCCATCTCTCTCTCTCTCACACACACACACACACACCTTCCATTTATATTGCACATAATAGGTTTCCTTTTCACCCCACAGATATTTTTTCACCTGAATCTAAAACATTATTTCTCTTTGGGTAAAAATATCACAGCCTTATATGTGGCTCTGCTGTTAAACTGGGAGGTTAGACCCTAAGCAGTTTTTTAAAACCCAGTTTTAAAGTGAACTATGACAGAAATGATATCCATTTTTTTCCTGCTTGAGAAGAAGTGCACAAAAACAGACTTACAACTGCAGCTCAAACACACACAAGGCCAATATGGGGGGGGGGGGGGGGGGGGTTGTAGCTGCAGCAAAGTGGTTTATTTGCAGTTCGGTCTTTGAAAACCATCACTGCTGCTAGAGCTGAGTGCAATCAGAGCAGAGGAAGAAGCCTGAGAAAACCCCATGGGCACAGAGAGAGGTTGAACATTTAGTCCGGGCGCTACGTCTCCAGATGTTCCCTGGTGATGGGAACCTTCACCTCCACGTCACTCACAGCCTCCACCCCAGAGTCCTGGTCCTCCTGATACACCTCCTGGTACACCTCCTCCGTTCCCCTCACTTTGCCAACGTGGCCTGTTCTTTGACGGCTCCGTTTCCTCGGCAGACACAGGAGGCCCCTGAGGTTCGTTTGACCGAGCGTGACGTCCAAGATGTAGTAGAGGGACCAGAAGAGCGCGAAGCATCCCAGCAAAAGCAGGAACTGGATTAAAAGAGAAAAGAGGAGGAGTTACATAAGAGGGGGAAAGCTTAATCCCAAAAATAAAACAAAAGTGGCAATATAAAACTTATTTTTTGCCCTCCCAAATAATTAAAACGGTTTTTATAGTAAGGATTCAGATTATAGATGGAAAACCTTTTTATATAAACGTGTTTGAAGCCTTAAAGTGCTGCATCTGGAGCTAAAGTATCAAGAAAACCTTTTTACACTTAAAAAATAAACCTTGTTTTATATTACTGTCAAACTTGTCATCTGGAACATATTTTATCCAACCTGACTGAAATTGACTTTATTTCAAACATCACGGGATATGTTAATTCCTCCTCCCTGAAGGATGGAAAAACAGAGATAATCATTTACAGATGTGCGATCCTGTCCCAACAACAACCTGAGCTTATTTCACTTCAGGGAAAAAATAAAAAATTATTTAACCTCTTATTATTTCAGACCCCTTCTTAGACATTCAGTGTGCAAAAACAAAGGCAACGACTTGATATTTAATCTGTCACAGGAAGGAAATGTGAAATGTTTTTTGTGAAGTAAAACAAAAAGAAAGTTTTTTTTTTGTTTTTTTTAAAGAGATTCTATGTTGAGAACTCTTATGCTGCGTTCACACCGGACGCAGCAGAAGCAGCGAGTTTACATGCAAAGTCAATGGTTGACACGCGTCAAGGCGCAGCAAAAGGTCCCGCAGCGCGTTTTGAGCAGCAGGTGCTGCGCGTCTGAGCAGCTGAAGCAGCGCGTCGGGAGCGTTAAAACATCTGACCGCAAACGCGCTGCTGCTCGAGATGGAAAATTTGAACTTTTGCTGCTCGACTTGCCGCATCAACCAATCAGAGAAGCTGATCTGTGAGCTCGCAGGGAGACAGACAGATCGCTGATGACACAGAGCGCTGTGATCACTCCTCTGAAACAGTTTATTAACGCCTCAATTAGCTTAAAATGCTGAAACCTGCCAACAGAATATGTTCGCTTTTATTATCCTGGTGCCTGCAGTACGGATTATTTAGATGAAAAACACCTATCAGCCGCAGCGGTGAACCGTGAGGAGGCGACCCGGCCAGAGGCTGCTGTAGCCGCGCGTCAGAACTAACTGGTACAAGCAGCAAAAATGAAGCAGCAGACGCGATTTTGCTGCTCCTGCTGCGTCCGGTGTGAACGCAGCATTAGGAGCCATCTTTATTAAAAACACAGAGATGGAGGAGATGAAGAGCTGAATGAGCCTGGAAGCTGCATCTACCTTCAGGTTGTTGGAAGTAAACGGCTTGATTATCTCAGGTGGAATGTCTAAGCCTGGAGGACAGGGCAGAGAGAAGCTGCTGTCCAGATGTTTGCCACTCATGGCCTCCTCCACCAGCCTGCAGACCAGGAAACAGAAACCTCTTAGTAAGTTCAACTGATCTTAAATGATGGGGACATTCTAACCATAAAGTCAATAAACAAGCAGTAATGACTTACTTTTGTCTTTCCTTTACTTCACTGTAAGTCATGGATGAACCGTAGAGGGTGAGCTTCCACTGCTTCAACACTCCCGACGTGGAACACTGATCTGATGGCGTCTCCTCTGCAGAAACGGGTAGGCAGAGTTCACAAGCAGCCATATAAAACATAAAGCAGCTCTATACCTAAAAAAACAAAGGTGTATGTTTCTTACTTAGGTCAGAAATCCTCAGGGTGTACTGGCCCTCAGCTCTCTCCCCCCAGCAGCGAACAGTGGAGAAAGTCCAGTCCTGGTACCCTGACGGATCTCTGCGTGGAAACAGAACCATCACATCTTTACATCGATTCAAACATTACTCTCCTCCGTGACACAAAGAAAGACGTGTACCACACCTGTCGATGGACCTGCGTGCCCCGATGATGGATTTCATACCACTGGGACACAACAGCACGATCTCCACGTTACCACGGCAGGGGTGGGTTATCGTCACGGTGACGGCCACATGCTCCAGTGTTTGCATCCCAGATGGTTTCAGGTCAGCAGCAGAAACTAAGGAGGGAAGAGAGAGCCAAGATTAGTCTGGATAAGGCCAAGATTTGTGTTTACTATGACCTAAAAAATAAAGAGTTAATTTCTTGTCCAGTTTTATGATATGATCTTAACACAAGAAATCTTGTTAAGTGAAATTATCTCACTGCATGGACTTGTTCTCATAATCGATTCCCTCCAATCTGATGCTTCTATCCTGTTTTTAGACATCCCTTTTGGCTGTGCAAGTTCAAGTCAACAAGTTTTAAATTATTAAGGTGTTTAGGGTAAAGTTTTCTTTCTTTTCTTAAGTTTCTTTTTTGGTCCTTCAGATAACAGTGCCTGGGTGAGAAACCCATCTCCAGGGCTACAAAGATTTTTAGATAAATGCTTTCTTTGCAGCACAAAACTAAGTTTTCCAACAATTAAAACCATTTATGTTTTTAATGAAAGAAAGGAAACTACTCTCAGGGTATACAAGTTTATCAAAAATTCAGCTTATTGTCCAAATTAAGAAACATAAATCAAAGATGGAACCTAAAAAGCCATCTTCAGAGGCTTGGTTAAATCACTTGGATCTTCAGAGATTACCTTCATTTTGGTTTGGCTGCAGCAAAACCTTTTTTATTTTAATCTTTTTTTGGTGGTGGTTCTTGTGCCACTTTCTGATTCTTCTTATCCTGCTCTATGCCCTCCTTCGCCTCTTCATGCGTCGTCTTTCCCCTCCTGACTGTCATCCTTTCCCTCTGCATCAACCTGTATCGTCACTGGCCTTAAAGGAATAGTACACCCAAAACATGATTAGCCTTCATTTTCTACTCACCCCCATGCTGAACAACACTCTGGAGTACTTTTTTGATATCTCAAATGCATCTGGAGATCTGGGAGGCTTCTTGCTGTCTGCTGACATTCAAATAATGGAGGTCTATGACGCCCGAGACAGAAAGGTCCATAAAAGTCCACAAAAAACATGTCAATATTCCTCCATACTGTTCGTCCAATGTATTCCAAGTGTCCTGAGTGGGTAGCATCCAGAATTTACTCGAAACGAAGTCATTTAGAATGTTTTTAGAGCATAAACAGTAGTGTATAGGATTGCGCACCTGCGCAATCACGAGCCTACGGAAGCCGGCAGACCAAACCAGATGAAAGTGCGCATTCAGCGTCTGCTCTGCCGATAATGCAAGCGTAGAAGAAGAAATGTGCCGTTTACTTGTGCAAAGAAAGAAACAACGAAAGAAAAATGTCTGAGGACTTCAGTGTTGAGGAAGAGCATGAGTTCTTTGCCGAGCTGAATGCGCTGGTTTGGTCTGCCGGCTTCCGTAGCGTCGGGATCGCGCATGTGCGCGCTTTCAGCAAAACCTATACACTACTGTTTATGCTCTAAAAACATTCTAAATGACTTCGTTTCGAGTAAATTCTGGATGCTACCCACTCAGGAAACTTGGAATACATTGGACGAGCAGTATGGAGGAATATTGAAACGTTTTTTGTGGACTTTTATGGACCTTTCTGCCTCGGGCGCCATAGACCTCCATTATTTGAATGTCAGCAGACAGCAAGAAGCCTCCCAGATCTCCAGATGCATTTGAGATATCAAAAAAGTACTCCAGAGTGTTGTTCAGCATGGGGGTGAGTAGAAAATGAAGGCTAATCATGTTTTGGGTGTACTATTCCTTTAATGCTGACCTTGGCCTTATTGCACACTTGCTGACTCTTGCATAAACCAAATCCACTCCACCCATCTCTCTCTTTATGTCTCTCCTTTCATTGTAGCCTGTTTGCTCATTTAACCTGCTATTATTTCTTTCATTCGTCTCCCTTTCTTTAATTGGGAGGGGCCGTTCATTTATCAGACTGAATCCGTCAGCTACGCTCCCACGCAGTAAACAGACCAAAGTTCAGGACTCTTTACAGCATGGGCGTAGGTTTGCATAGGGACCATAGGGACAGGTCCCTACCAAAATTTTGGACCGACCTACTTGTCCCTACCAACAATTACATGTGAAGAACAAGTTTATAATTTACAGCATTGTTGCAGCAGTAGAGGTGTTCTGGATGGAGAATATTGACAGATGAAAACATGTTTTATCTAAAATGCAAAATACAAAATACAATTTTGGTATATTTCCTGCTCTAAGTGGGTCGCTCTGTGAGCTAAAGACATGTTTTAGAGTCTTTATACTCCAGTTAACGATTGATTAATTAATTACTAAATTTAAAATAAATAAAATGGGATACACAAGTACAGCCTAGATGTACAACTTGTATAGTGAAGTTAATATTTTAAATACTCAGTGTCAGTTCCTCCTTTAGTTGCAATGCTTTTATTGCATTTATTTGCCGTCTCTTGAATGTATTATTTTGCTTTGTTTCATGATACAAAGAGAACATTTGAAAGATAAGAGTGGGGTTTACCTCTGTACAATTCTATATCTTCAAAATAATAATAAAAAAAAAGTATAAATCCACATAAAACAGACATATTTTGACTTTATTTGCTTAAATAGGCACGTATTTACCTTATGTCTTAGTCGCTGGTAAATTTAAATGCAAACCTTTTCAAAGTGAAAAAAAGTCCAAATTCCTCATTCATCAGAGCCGGTTAAGCTTCTGTCATTGATAAACAGTGTCTAGTGTGTGTAGTGCTTATAAAATTTGTATAAATTTAGCAAGAAATGCTGTTTTTCCTCTTTAAACGAAATACACCCTGATTTTTACGTCAAGCATAAAAAACGAGCATGCATATTTTTGCATAGGACCAATAACATCAGTTGCCTCGTGAGACCATCCTGATCTTGCGAGCTTTCAAGGTTTCACTGGCAGATCAGTCTGGAGACTCTCCGTTAAAGAAAATCTGGAGCCGTTCACCAAACGAACGTCCAATCAGCGTTGGCTTTGAGGCGGGTTGAGGTGTGACGCAACGAGAAGCGCAACAGTTCAGTCTAAAGAACATGGCGGCTTCAGCCGATGAAACTAGCGTTAGCGTGGCTATCGAGCAAGTTTTATTAGTATTTCTTCACTGAAAGAAGTGCAAAACACTGCTCTGGAGGCTTTTCTCAGAGGAAAATAGGTTTTTGCTCTTCTCCCGACTGGTTTCAGCAAGAGTTTGATCTATCAATTGGCTTGTGGTTGTGTTTTCGTCGTCGCTCTGTTAGTACGTCATATGCTTCGTTGATCTGATTGGTTTATGTGGCCCGTCTATCACCAACATAGGCCAATCAGCTAACCAGTATTTTCGCCCCTTCCCAAAATTACTTCAACGGAAGGTTTCCAGATGGATATGCGGAGCAAATCCATCTGGCAGAGTCAGGTTATAACATCAGACCAATAGTGTCCGAAAAAAAGTTGAAATCAAACTTACGCCTTTGCTTTACAGGTGTTTTTTTTAACACCCCTTTTCTGCCTTTAAAGGTTGGGCTTTCTGTCTGCTGGTGGGAAAATGTAGGTGTTCGACGGGTGCATGGGCATGAGTCAGTAACACAGTATGTACACTTTTTTTTCAAGAGTTTTTGTTTAGAATAAAACCAAAAAACAGGAAATATATTTACAGCATTAACTGGTGCAGTTCAAATGCATCTATTACCCCTAATGGAACCTAAAGAGTCAGTCTCAGTCTTCCATTGCCCTCTGGATTTGTCCTCTTTGCCATCTTTCTTTTAAAGCTGGTTTCAGCAGGTCCTCTAACCACAGCTGATCCTCTCAGAGTGAGCGCCTGGTAATGTCCCATCATTTCCTTCTGTCTGATGACTAATGAGGGGCAGTGTGCCTGACCATGCAGGGACACATATCCTTGGGGCAGGGAGGGAAGCAGTGAGACTGAAGGAGGGGGAGAGGAGGGAGAGAAACTAAAGCAAAGGGGTTAAGGATTCCCCCTCATTAGTTAGTCTGCCTCCATGTGAAAACCAAACTGGAGTCTTTTCAAAAACAGTTTAAGACAATAAAATAAACCAGGGCACAAAGCCTTACCTTAAACTGCCTGGTAATTCAAACAGTTCTTAATATTGCACTAATAAAGATAAGACCTGATCCTGCACCGTTCACAGTATGAATAAAGAGCTTTTGCTTATTCTTATCGTTTGTTTAACCTCAAATCCACCTTATTTGGTGCCTCAGTCTCATCCAAACAAAAAAAACAACACAGTTCCAGCTAAATCCTGAGCAGAGTTCAGTAAGCCTCCCGTGTTTACATTCAAAGACAGTCAGGCAGAAAAGGGTTTATTTCTGGCACTCCATGGAGGCCCTGGAGATGATCTAAAGTAGGGCTGCAACTAACGATTATTTGTCTTGATTAATGGATTAATAAACAGCCAAAGGTTCCTCAAAGAAAAACTTTTACGAAATCAAACCAGGTGAAACTAAAATGTTTCCACTTGAGGAGCTCTGGATAGATCATATTGACAGTCGAAAATGTTTTTTTTTATATTAAATGCAAAATGTTTATATATATAGTTTTTTATTATTATTATTTTGATATAATTACTGCTCTAATTAGGTCACACTGTCAGCTAAAGGCATTTTGTAAAAATATGTATTACCTTTTTTAATAACGGTCACAAATATCAAGTTTATCACAAACTGATTTGTCTGGATTTTATGTTCTCCTTTGTTTACCGTTTAGAAGAAAGGCAATTCTATTTGTTTCTAACTTAAATACTTGTTATTCGTATCATACGTAATATAATGTCCTGCTCTCTGATTCCATCACTGCAAATATGAAGCATCAACCCTTTCTATAAAACGCCTCATGGAAAGATTTTTTTTTTCACATGTTCAGCACAAAGTTTGATCAGTTTAATGTGCAGCTGCATGAAAACCAACAAACACCAAGCAGATGTAAACTTAGTCCGTTACAAAGAGCTCATCGAGGAATGTGACCAAAACAGACTGACTGTGGGTTTCTAGAATATGACGGAAAATCATTCTTGACATTCGTAGCAAATCTGCGCTTTGAAAACTGGCAGCTTTGCTGTTCATGAAAACATTGTCGCGTGAGATCAAATGTACACAAAACCGTCTGTGGACCGGATGAGTGGCTGACAGATCGCACAAAAGCGGTGCGTGAGTTAGATGGCATTAGACTGGTAGCATCATTATCATCTTTATTTGCATAGTGCTTTAAAACAGCTACAGCTGAGACAAAATGCTGAACATAGCTAAAAAAAAAAACCAAGAAATAATTTTAATGCCACCAAAATGTAGTGTTGTACAGTAACCAAATAAAAATGCTTCACTACTGTACTTAAAGGAATAGTACACCCAAAACATGATTAGCCTTCATTTTCTACTCACCCCCATGCTGAACAACACCCTGGAGTACTTTTTTGATATCTCAAATGCATCTGGAGATCTGGGAGGCTTCTTGCTGTCTGCTGCTTTTTTGAGAACTTTCACTTTTACTTCACCACATTTACGAATGTAATTGCATACTTTTAATCGGATACATTTTCAATGTTTGGTTTAGTTACTAAGTAAAAAAAAAAAACGAGCGAGAGAAACGCAATTGTTTTGACCCCACCTACTGACTACAAAGTCGGGTCTTGCCTGGGCTTGTTCATCAACACCAATAGGATACGTCTTTTTCGCAAAGCCAGTCTAAATGTATCCTACACTTGGTTGTTTATATTATTTTAAATGAATTTAACCTTCAAAGTTTACCAAAATGTAAAAAAAAATGTCATTCAAACTGTACTACTTTTTACTTATACTTTTCACTACATTACTTGAATACTGACTTAGACTTTTACCAAAGTCATATTTTGGAGAGGTACTTATACTTTTACTTGACTCCGAGATTTCAGTACTTTATACAACACTGCCAACAGGTACCCATCGACAGGCTGCTAGCTTCGTGAGACCATCCTGATCTCGCGAGCTTTCAAGGTTTCACTCGCAGATCAGTCTGGAGACTCTCCGTTAAAGAAAATTTGGAGCCGTTCACCAAACGAACATCCAATCAGCGTTGGCTTTGAGGCGGGTTGAGGTGTGACGCAACGAGAAGCGCGACAGTTCAGTCTAAAGAACATGGCGGCTTCAGCCAATGAAACTAGCGTTAGCGTGGCTATCGAGCAAGTTTTATCGGAATTACAGAGTATTTCTTCACTAAAAGAAGAGCAAAACACTGCTCTGGAGGCTTTGCTGAGCTAACGAGCCTTTACCTGCAGCAGCAAGGGTAGCCTGGCTTGTGGTTGTGTTTTCGTTGTCGCTCTGTTAGTACGTCATATGCTTCGTTGATCTGATTGGTTTATTTGGCCCGTCTATCACCAACATAGGCCAATCAGCTAACCAGTATTTTCGCCCCTTCCCAAAATTAATTCAACGGAAGGTTTCCAGATGGATATGTGGAGCAAATCCATCTGGCGGAGTCAGGTTAAGCAGCTGCAGCCATGTCCCGAATTCCTCGTTTTCCAGCCACTTTTGTAGAAATTAGCTTTTTTCCCCCCATTCTCTAGCTTTTGCTCCGACTCAAGCTTCTTTTCTGAACATACAGCTTTGCGATCAACCGGAAGCAGTTCCACGCAAATATATCGTGATATATTATGTCTGACGAAATTGTTTTTATAAACATTTTTTTTTATATAAAGCATTTTAAATGCCACAATAAACACATTTAATGAATTTTAATGCCAATTAAGGCCTTAATTAAAAAAATTATTTAATGACTTTTCATGATTTTTAATGACCCTTTGAAGGACTTGTGTGGACATGTCCCCACCAATAATTTATGCTTTTTTTCCACTTTCCGCTTATTTACTTTAGCCAAAGGTAACAGAGGTTGGGTGCAGCTATCTGTTTTTAGAGCGTTTTGACTCTGTGTTTTTTTCTCACTATCACTGCTCCCATGTCCCGCCTCTTAATGTAACATCATCAGATGTGTCGCTTGTGATTCGACGGTAGCATTTCACTGCGAAGAAAGAAGCTAGGTGGTTGAAGGAGAGAGACACAGCAGCACTCAGTGAATATTGACCGGCAGCTACTTTGATGTTTGAGTAAAAGTTAGGTAACGGGTTGGTTAAAAAAATGAGAGACTGTACCACTGAAAAATCAGTTTGTTTGACATACGGAGTTTTTTCAGGTAAAAATGGCAACTGATTGTAACCTTGGGTAAGCAAATCAGTAAATATAAACCAGGTGTAGAAACACTTAACAATTAAACTATAAGCCTTATTTTCTCCTAGTTTTTACTCAAACTAGATGACGAAACTTTGGAGAGCCTGGAAAGTTACACGGACAAGTGGTCTGACAACATTGTGATGGGCATAACACAAAAATTACGGTACCGGAAGCCAGACATTCTGGACGCCATTGACAAAAAGCTTTCAAGCTTTAAATCTCATCCTGCCCTGGTTGATATTCTGATGGGACGTTAATTCCCTCATCAGAGTGGTTTCGGTCACATGTCTCTTTGCAGTGTGAGGCGACGCCTCTCTATCGGTCCTGGGCCCTGTAGGGTTAGTCTGGGGCCGCTCACACCTGCTATTAAGCATACTTTCTTTCTGAAGAAGCTTTGAAAAATCCTTTATACATGAGCCTGCTAATGCATACATAACAAAGGAGTTTTGTTCCAGGTGTTCATGGATACACACTAATACTAAATACTAAGCTGCAGCTACAGATATTTACCACCCTGAATAATGTTGTATAATCACAGTAGGTTTTGCCTGCAACACACGTGGAAATCTAAAGGATATCTGCTGTTCTTGATGCTTTTCTTCTTTATTTACTTTGGTTTTCTCTCGTCTTTGTTTTGCTGTTCTTATGTTTTCTGTCCCTCTTGTCTCATACCGGTGTGGAAGCAGACTTCTAGGAGCTACCGTATATCTTCTGTGTTGCATATGTTTGAAGTTTTGTTTTATTTTCTCTTTTTTCAAGCTCTTTCCTCTCCCCTTAGTTCTTATCCTCTCTTTCTTTCTCACCTCGCTTTTCATCTCTGCATCTATTGGATACAATTTTACTCCAAAAAAATTTTCAAAAAATTTTAATTTACAAGTACCAGGTGTAACCTTATGGCAACAGTCATAATGGTCTGCATGGGAAGGCACAACTGTTTGGCTATAATTTAGCTCTGAGACATCTATTTCCAGAGCTATAGTTCCTTACGAAAGTATTCTGCCCATTTTAACTTTTTCTCCGTTTTCCACATTTCAGGCTTCAAACATATACGGTAGATGTAGATATATGTAGATAGATAAATAAGTAAATAAATTTAATTACACTTCATGAATGTCTCACTTTTTTCGTTGATTCTTAAAAAAAAATTTAAATTTTTATTATTATTCTTGTGTTTGTAGCCTGAAATGTGGCAAAATGTCAAAAAAAGTTCAAGGGGGCTGACTACTTTTGCAATGTACTAAATATTGGCAAAACAGGACACACATAGCTAGAAGGAAAAAAAAAACTAAATGCCTGTGGTTGTGTGATTAACTGCAATGAAGCGACACAAGACGCTTGATAAAGCTTAAGGGAGGACAGGATCCAAAATGAGGAAGAAGGAAATGTTTCTATTTGGATGAGGTCATCCCTACAAGTAAAAAAAAAAAAAAAAAGTGTAGGGATTACAGGGTGAATGTTCAGAATAACAGAGATTGTAAAGTGAGAAAATACAGAGAGGATTGGAGGTTTTAAAATACGGCTGGAGATTTTAGGAGAAAATCTAAAAGGTAAAACATTAAAAAGGGGGAAAAAAATAATTAAATCCTAGGAGCAAAACTTCACCAACAACTGAACATGACCTAATATGGACAAGCAGCCTGAGCAGCAGGCATGCAGGGAGGGAGGGATGGTTCTGTTATGGAGTGAAATGTGTAAACTCGACAAGCAACTGTCCACTGAGCTAAAGTGGTGAGAGAGAGATAAAATAAAAACGGTACCATTCCAGGTACGGACCAACACGTCCGGATGAGCCGAAATGGATACGCCCTCATTTATCACCGGGCTCTGATAGGACACAAGGAAAGGCACAGACTCCCACACCTGAGAGAAAACAGAGAAATACTTCAGTTCAGGATACATTTCTAACAAATAAATGTTAAAAACATAAAAAAAAAAAACAAGAAATAACAGATGAAAAACAAATTCTGTGTACCTTTGCTGCATTTACAAGCCTCCATGCATTGAGCAGACCGAAGCCGTGCTGGTGGCTGTGATGAAACCCTGCGTCATTCACTCCCCAGTCAGCAGTGGAGTCACACTATGGTGAAACAGAGAAAAGAACAAAGTTTACACTGACGGCCCCGTCCATTTTGTTTATTAAGGGCAAATTGCTCAAATATAAAAGGTGCATTTTTACTTTTTTGTTTCCCATACAGTAGTAGCCATTCAAAATTTCCCCACTTTCCTTGATGGGCCTTTGGCTGGTCCCCTACAATTCCTTTTTAAACATCAATATTTGTACTAAAATATTCTTTCTGTCATGATTAGTGGACATTAAGATCTAGAGAGAAGCGTCATCTCCTGGTCAGACCCTGTAATTACATAAAAGGGTGAAGTCGGAGTAAAAAATAATCAAGAGGGGGTCACTCCAGTGGCGTTTGGAGGGGATTGGAGGAGAAGTTGGAGGGGATTTTGCTGGGAGTTGGAGGGAAGTGGGCTGCCATTCAGCTGCCATTTTGAATGGCTGCTACTGTACATGGCTTTGCTCTCAGCCGCCGTGTAAATGAGGTACTCTAGGGCAAGAAATTTAAATTTTAAAAAAATTCCAGAAATTTTTAAAAACAACAAAATTTTCTTCATGATCAAACCTATCTAGTTATTGATACCATGTGGCTTCATCTGTTCTGGGATATGATTATAGGCCCAGATTTGAAAGGAAGTCTTTTAAACTCGACATCAGGTGTCTATATTTGAGGCTCTTATTTTGAAGGAAGAAATAAAACAGTTCTTTAGGATACCTTGTGATATTTGCAGAGCCAGGTAATATAAACCAATTGTTCAGGTAGCTGACATCTTGGCAGAAATAGAAGCACATTTCTAGTCATCTTTTCCAATCATTCCCCTAGAATTTAGGGAAGTATTAGAGAGCCATGCATAAACAAATTCAATTTTGGATAGAATATTAAATGCCATTTACAGATTCTTTAATTGCAAGTTGAAAAAACACCTTTACAAAAATGTTTCAATGTCTATCAAATTAGAAGGTAAACTTGTCATACTCCCATCAAAGCTAAACAACATATCGAAAATGTATTATAACGATAACAGCCTGTGCAATAAAAAATGAACAAACTGTGACAAATTGTTGGATAAAATGTTTGTATTTCTGCTTTACATCAGTGTTTTGCTAATTACACAGAAACGCAAAGCATTTAAATAATCACATGACACCTTCCAGCATCACCAATTAGATCGATTTCTTTGTATTAGATTCCAGCCCCTTGATAGATCACAAAAAACTAAGTTAAGCGAGAGTCGCGTTTGCGAAAGATCGTGTTCATAAAATGAAAAACAAGTAAAAAATAGCACATCTTTATTAGGAGATATTTTAGTTCCAGGAGAGACGAGGTTTAAAAAAGGTACTCTGTAAAACACGTCGAGAGGAAAAACAACTAATCTCCATTGGCATCCTAAATACAACCACAAAGACCAGTCTGAAGTAGGGGTGAAACGGTCCACAAAATCCACGGTTCGGTTCACGGTTTCGTGGTCACGGTTTTCTGTTCGGTTCGGTATATGTTGATTGTTAGCCTGACATGTTGGTCGTGTTGCTGTTAGCATAAACAAAACGTGTTGCACAATGCTTGCACACTGTTTTTATCCACAACTTTCTTTCCGCCGTCATCGTAGGTCACTTTAAATGCAAAGTGGTCCCATACAGCAGACCTATAAAGTGCTGCTGGCGCGTCTTCCAACTCCTGTTCTTTCCCACTTGCCATACCCACACAATTCTCTACAACAACTGATTTTTTTCTGCTACACCCGTCTACGCGGCTACGCTTCTTCTTCTTGTTTACTACTGGTGGTTGGCTTTGGTCTCATTACCGCCACCTTCTGCTCTGGAGTTTACATGCATCGCCTATGAGAAAAAGGAGCAGCGCATGAACCGAGACAGTCGAACCGAACAGTTCGGACGGTTGTCATAAACCGTTCCATCCCTAGTATGAAGAGTTCCAAAAAGCTAAGGCTAGCTACCTCCTGGTGCAGAGGTGATGCTGCAAGTCTCAGGATTTCCTCTCCATGTAACTGATTGTGGTGTACAGCCAAATAAAAGCATCCACACCTTTAGAATGTTGATGTAAAACATATGATATAACCCACCATCTATTTGCCCATTTATTCTGATCATATTAATAGTACCAAATTAATTTAAATATCAAGAATCTTAAAAAAACGTTCTGTTACTTTTATTACTGTTATTTTGAATAACCTACACGTCGGCTCTTGCCAGAAGTTTATTAGTGCATGAAACTTACTGAGCTCTCAGTGATGAAGCAACACTATAGACAACGGTCTATTGTTGGTGTCGTACTGACTTTTTTCCTGTGTCTGGGGACTTTTCAGGTCCTATAACAACTTTTTTTTAAACTTTCCCTCTTCTCCAGGCAGAAATGTGCTTCCATACCTTGTGTTCGTGCATTTTTGTTCTCCCTCTCGCAGATTGGAGGCGGATCATTGTCTAGAAACCATTAGAGCCAATAAAACGACAGCGAGGAAAATGCGCTCCAAATTCACCTTTCCTCCTTGCAGACAATTTGTACTTTATCAGATTACAGCAGTATCATCGGCTAGCAGTTATGCCATTTCAGGTTTCTATTTTATATTTTTATCCTTCTGTTGGTTGAAGAGCAATGTCTGACTTTCATTTGCTTATTTCATAGAATTTTTATCAGTTATTTCAGATTCAAGTTATTTCTGTGACCTTTGTGGGTTTTTCTTTCATCAAACAAGGTGTTACGGCTACTCTTGCATCAAAGTAGTTTCCCAAAAAAATCACAAATTGCCAGAGTAGTCTTAGGAGGAGGTTTTTCGACTCACAAAACAAAAAGCACTCGTTGTTATGTGCCCCAGGCACATTATGATTTTTGTCCATTTCTTTTCTTCGTTTGCTTATAAACTTTAGTTGAAGGATCCTTTTGTTAATATATTTTAGGATTCTTTTAGTAAATCAATTATGTTAATTTGTGGTGCTGTCGTCCGCCTATAAATAGGCTGGCCTTCAGCACGTTAGCGCGTTCCTTGCGCGTTCCTTTCCAACCTCGTTTGGACGCCACTTCCCACCTGCTTCATTTGCTCCATCGTGCGCGGTGCGCACTTGTCTTGTCGCTGCGGCCTGCAGCGGACGTTCCAGCCTGCCATGTGGTATTTTTGTTAACTTTTTCTTACTTTTTCTTGAGGTTTTTGGCCTGGCGGGACCGGTAGTCCTGTTTTCGATTTTTCTTTCGCTTAGGTTATTTTTTGCCTTTAGTCCGGTACCAGTAGGGGCTTCGACGGCCCTGTATAGGGTTGGCCCCCTGCTGTACCGTTTTATTCTGTTTGATCGGCCTGCCAGGTCCAACTTTCTGTTGTTACTTTGGGTTTTTTTTTTTTTTTTTTTGGGGCACGGGATTTGAGGGCCGTTAACTATTTTTCTCTTCGCAGAACATCTGAAGAAGCCGAACCAAGAACAACTAAAACGGAGAGAATTTATTAATAAAATATCTTTTTTTGAACCCTCATTTTTGTCTCGTGTCCTCAAATATGTTGTGTCCTTGGTGGGCGTAACATATTTTTGGGGGCTTGTCAAAATAAAGTTTGCCATTAGTGCCCTCCGATATGTTGTGTCCTTGGTGGACGTAACATATTTATGGGGGCTTGTTTAAACAAAGTGTGCTTTGGAGACAGGTCGGGTCCTACGGTTGGTTCTTGTTTGTTGGCGGTTGTGCTGGGTTTGTGTGTATTTTTGCGCAGCTGACGCGCGTTGCGCTGATTAGTTAGAGCATTCGGTTCTGGTGGTGCTGTAGCTTCATTTGTGCAGAGGTGTTCCTGATTTGGTGTGGCTTGATTCCAGGGGTAAACATGGAGTTTGACCTGGATGAGTTTGTTCGAGGGCCCACATTGGACACTTTGCAGAAATGCACAAAGGATCTGTTGCTGAACGTGCGCCCGCTCTGCATAACTCTATCAGTTGTGTTTCCAGTGAACGAGATGACGCAGGTGTCGGGGCAGCTGCAGATGCACGGGAAGCCGAGCATTTTGAGGTTATTGTGGATTGGACGATTTGGCTCTGGTGTTTTTTGTGGCTTTGTATGTGTGCTTGACAGTTTGTGTGGCTAGATTCCAGGGGTGGACATGGAGTCTGACCTGGATGAGTTTGCTCGAGAGCCTACATTGGATGGAGTGTTCCTGTTTAGTGTGGCTAGATTCCAGGGGTGGACATGGAGTCTGACCTGGATGAGTGCTCGAGGAGCCACATTAGATGTCTTTAGTGAGTGCACGAAGGATATTTTTCCTGCTGCAGTTTTAGCACAGAGTCTTGATGAATCGCCGAATAAAACCTCACTTGCAGCTGATCCGTGTCGTTTAGAGGAACTTCAGATCGAATTAGGACAGCTGGCTTTGATGGAAAAGGAGCTGTTTTTGGAAGAACGCAGACTGGAGTTGGTGGATCGGCTGTGTTTGCGCGCTCGGTGGCATTGAGAGCGCATTAGATCATGTCTTGGATGTGAAAGCTATGTGACGCGTTTTTATTGTAGGAAGAGGGGACAACGTAGTGGCTGACGCACTCTCCTGACTCTAGTCCCGCTTTCCTTTTAACGTGTTTTTATTATGTGAAGATAAGACAATGTAGTGGCCGACACACACTCACGACTGTAGTCCCGCTTTCCTTTTTTTTTTTCTCTGAATGGGTTGAGCTTTGCTTCGGACCCCATTCAGAGTCTTTGGGTGGGGGTGTTATGTGCCCCAGGCACATTATGATTTTTGTCCATTTCTTTTCTTCGTTTGCTTATAAACTTTAGTTGAAGGATCCTTTTGTTAATATATTTTAGGATTCTTTTAGTAAATCAATTATGTTAATTTGTGGTGCTGTCGTCCGCCTATAAATAGGCTGGCCTTCAGCATGTTAGCGCGTTCCTTGCGCGTTCCTTTCCAACCTCGTTTGGACGCCACTTCCCACCTGCTTCATTTGCTCCATCGTGCGCGGTGCGCACTTGTCTTGTCGCTGCGGCCTGCAGCGGACGTTCCAGCCTGCCATGTGGTATTTTTGTTAACTTTTTCTTACTTTTTCTTGAGGTTTTTGGCCTGGCGGGACCGGTAGTCCTGTTTTCGATTTTTCTTTCGCTTAGGTTATTTTTTGCCTTTAGTCCGGTACCAGTAGGGGCTTCGACGGCCCTGTATAGGGTTGGCCCCCTGCTGTACCGTTTTATTCTGTTTGATCGGCCTGCCAGGTCCAACTTTCTGTTGTTACTTTGGTTTTTTTTTTTTTTTTTTGGGGCACGGGATTTGAGGGCCGTTAACTATTTTTCTCTTCGCAGAACATCTGAAGAAGCCGAACCAAGAACAACTAAAACGGAGAGAATTTATTAATAAAATATCTTTTTTTGAACCCTCATTTTTGTCTCGTGTCCTCAAATATGTTGTGTCCTTGGTGGGCGTAACACTCGTGGAGAATTTTCTTGTTTCAAAAAAAGGGGTGTTTTCTTTACTTATAAAAAAATAACAGAAATATTCTCAGAGTTGACTTACAAAAAAATCAAATATAAAGGTTAAGTGATGTGTGTGAAAAAAACTGTTACACTCCTCACTCCTTCAAACAAACAATCAGATCCACCTCATCAGCTGCTTCTACTTGTTAATCTCAGCAGGAGGCGGACTGACAAGGAGGAGGGTCAAAGCCAAACCAATACATAAACAAATTAACAATAGCTCTACCATTCACACAACCTTAGATCTTTAACATTAATAATTTTGCAAAAAATAAATTAATCTAATTCTTAATAGGCTCCAACACAAGGAGTACCAATAAGTTTGTCCATGTGTGTAAATATCTTTAACTCCCGTTGAGTTTCTAGATGCAACAGACCCCAGAGGTCTGTGCTAAGGTTGTCCAATCACAGTGGGTTTTACCTGGGTGGCGGTGAAGGCAACGATGTGCTGAACGTCCCTCCAGGTCAGGCAGGGCCGCACCTGCAGCATGAGGGCCACCATTCCTGCTGCCAGGGGGGCTGCTGCAGACGTGCCAGTGTGGCCCTCCGTGCAACCTTTCCTGTTCCGTATCGACCAATCTGATGTCACCTGCAGAACGACACGGCTGGTCAATTCATTTCAGATCAGAGAGGTGTGGTCTGTGTGAAAGCCAAAAATACTAGGAAAAAAAACATGAGCAAACAACTTCATGAGAGCATAAAAAGCTCTGAAAATAACGGTTGGTTCATAAAGTAGCACCTATATAATAGCACTATGCTGACGACATGAACTGACAGCACAGGGTCAGAGTTCAGTGCTGTTTGTGTGCAGCTAATAGAGTTGATGGGGGGGTAATGGAGTTTGGTGATAAAAGAATAAAATAATAAACTCACTATTGGAGCAATAAAACAAAATAACATCTAATTAGCTTTAATACCTTTAGCTCTGATTTAGTATGAAGTATAAAGAGTAGAAAAGAAAGGAAAGCGTCTCCTCCCTCCCTATGATTCACATTTATGGGTGTTTTTTTAATACCTTGTATAAATATCAGTTTTAAATGTTTTCAGATAAAGCTCTAAATCGATCGCTAAAGATAAGATGGTGGATCTTCTGTCCTGGGGAAAATCAAAATCCAGTTTCAGTTCATGAACCCACAAAGTTAAACAGTAGAACAGACTTTAATCAATCAACAACGATTGGGATTAGCTTGTAGAATAGCTCTTTTTTGCAACAGCTAATATACCGTTTTTATTTAGACATGAATATTTATTTTCAGCCGTAATAAGAAATTAATAGTTTTTATTGTTTAAGTTCAGTTCCTAAAGAGCGTCTTACAATCCCACATCTGTGGATCCACAGCAGCTCTGTAATCATTTAAGATGAATTCAGGAAAGTGGGCTGGGTTGTGGAGGTACTTAGCATGTGAGCGTTGTGTGGTTGAGGGCGGATCGGTGGTTAGGTCCCGGCTAATCTTGGTTTCCCACAGACGTTGACATCGTTGCAAGAGAAACAGGTTACTGTGGTGACGTCCTCAAACATCAACAAACAGCTGTCACTGCGTTCCCTGATGTGGAGGCTTTTTACACCGCCGTTCCCACCGGTTTAGCGCTCACCCACATTCTTAACAGGGACAGAGTCATTTACTTTAGCTTTGGTTTAACGATACATTAGGGTCTCACTGGTATAATAATCTGACTGTGCTTTAGCTAGACAGGCCACTTTTGTCCTGTTCACAAAGAAAATAACACAAAAATCTCTTTTATTTTAAAGAATACAATCCTCTATCATGTTTTATTCCTGTTATCTGCTGCAGGATTCAGTCTGCAGTCATTAAAATCTGATTTTTAGCGGCTCTATTTTTAGTTTTTGCCCCATGACGGTTCCGGGTTGCATAAGACGAATAATAAACCCAGCAGGTTCAGTCAATTTCCACCTGATGTATTTGATGCACTTAGACTTACAATGTTCCTTGATTTGGCCCCCCCGCTGCTAAAAGTAACAGCCAGCAATGATGCGCAATCCTCAGCATAGAACGGCTTCCTGCCTTCCTCATCTACCGCTCCTGAAAACACACAAAACACGGGAGAATGAGAGGCTTAGTGCTATTCATCCCCACACTCCCAGCGGTCTCTGCTCCTTACCTATTGTGATGGTGTAGATGGAGTTGGCGTAACCGTCGTAGTTGCAGTTGTCATCGTACTGACCGCCATTGCCGCTGGCAACCACAAAGATGCTACCGAAGCCTCGTCGACCTGCAATCACCCCGTGCTGCAGGGCAGCCTAGAGGGAAAAGATAAGAAAGTTAAAATGAGGACTGAATATTTAAAAATGCATATCTGGCATAAAAGTAATTTATAGTTTGGGTTGCCACCTGATGGTACAAGATCTGCTTGGGTGGTCAGGTCTGCTCAAACACTGAGCATGCCAGTGAAGTTGCGCTATGATTGGCTGAGCATTGCAACATGGCGTAAAACATTGTGCTTGCCCAGACAACGATAATAAAACGCAGCATCCGTCTGTCGAGTCGGGAGCATCTGTGATGTTAGCTATCTAATGGCTGATTAAGTTTTACCTTATTGATAACACAGCTGAAAAAATCTGCTTATGGTGAATAATTTAGACCAGGATATAAAGGAGGAGAGCTGGGAAGCACTTTGGCTAGCTGTGCTCCGTAGCTAACAGGTTAGCCTCTTTTAGCTCGGTCAGTTAGCCATTTTAAGCTACACTACTTTTAACTTTGTGTCAGCATTTTTTACAGGTAGAATAACTTGTTTTGTTTGTGTCCAAAATATCTACTAAAGTCATTTTTAAGATGTTCCATTTGCCTTCCTCTTCCCTCAGATTTTAATAAAAAAAATAAAAATAAGCACACTTTTTTTCCAACAATGATTGTTTTCTATTTTGGGCTACTTTAGAGCGCCAATGAAATGTATAACAATAGCAAATATAGGAAAAGCTATGTTGAGACTCCAAAAGAGATCTAAATCTTAAGAAACAGTGCAATACAGTATGTCCGAATGAAGTTGCCATATGATGACATCATAAAAAGGGGCAGGGCCCTGAGCAGATTTGTACCTACACCCTAAAACATCATCTACAACAAGTCTTTTGGGAAAAACTTTGAGTTACGACAACATTTTATCTCCCTTTACAATCAATATATATACATTTTTTATTTATTAAACTGAATTTGTTCTGTATTTACATATAATAAAGTAAAACAATACTGGATCTAGCAAAACATTCGTGGCATGACTGGCCCAAGCAGGGCCCCCTGCATCACCGTGTATTGCTGTCAGGGTTGCCAGACATTAGTAAACCATCCTAAACTACAAAATAGACAACAGACCTTAAATATGACCCTGCGCTCTCTGCTTCTACCTAGTTTTTATAATAAAGAAAAATTTTGAAATGTATTAAACAGAGCTGATAAGTATATTTATAGGATTATGTTGGTAGCAAGCAAAATAGCCATTACTAGGAAATGGCTGAAGGCAGAAGCTCCTAAAAGGGAAGATTGGGTTGAAATAATACATAATATTTGTATTATGGAAAGGCTGACTTTTTTCATCAGATTTGAATCTGGAAAATTTTAAAATTATTGGGAAAATTGGCGAGGTTTTATTTCACCATGGAGATCAGACTTTGTTTGATAAAAGTGTGGGTTTGGGTACCCTTATAGAGTTACAGACTGTAGTTTGCTTACAGTTCAATACATGTATAGAATATATGCGCAGATTCTGTTGGATGTTGTGTTTGGAAAAAAATAAAATAAAAATGTAAAATCGGTATGTATACTTGAATGGGAAAAATATTTTCAATAAAAAGTGCAAATAAAAAAAGAAATGTATTAAACAGACAGCCTATTTCTTACATGTGGTTATACATAATACAATGCAAACAGATACAAATTTAAAGAAGTATTTGTGTGACTACATCCACTTCTTTTGTTAAACCAATTATGTTAGTAGAACATATTTTGATTGCTTTAACCGTCTCTGATCATGTTAACAACGCATTAGCATCTCTAAATGTTAAATATGAGTACAATGAATTTGACTCAAAACAGGCTTTAAATAAAAAAAATAATCACATGGCCAAGAGCAGCACTATAATATAGAAAACCACAACATCAGTAAGCTTTTCGGAATGGTTGTGTATTTTATCAAATAATTATTAAAGGTATCATGTCTGCCACAGATCTGCCTGCACTGAAACTGTACTGCTAAATGCACTAGCAGCCTAACTTCCTTGGCCTTCCAGTAATGCAAGTTTCTTATCTCTACAGCTCTGGTTAGACCAGATACTCCACCAGATCCACAAAAGCAAGACTTTTTACAAAACGTAAGTGTTTGACAAAAGGCAAATCCCCAGCTGAACACATCAGCAGGGCGACAGATACAAGAAAAATGTCAAAATATGTTGCTGAGTATATTTGTGTGGCACATAGTGACAGCATGGCTCAGGAAAGGAACATCAGTGACTCTGACTCATAAGATAATAAGCTCTTCATACCCAACTTACCCCCTAAGATAAACATGGAGTGTTAAGATTTAGCGGTTCTGCCGACTGTTAAAGTTATTGAAATTATATGACAATTTAATTGAAAATAAAGGAGCATTATAAATTGAAATTCAAAAACCAAATCCTGATAGAGCTACTATATAAAGACCTTTTTAAAGAAGCATTTTTTGAGACATTTAAAGATATTTCTTAGATTGTAAAATGTTTCTAGACTCTTCAGTGTAAGAATTATATTTTAAAGGATTACAGGTAGCTCAAATGCATTTAGTGCAGACAATATTTAAAATGTAGTATATATTATAGGTTGTTTTGAGCACGTTCCATACAAACGGATCACGTTCAGATGTTTGTCCCACTGATAAATAATACAGAATTCATTACATATGTAAAATGTGCAATAGTTTGTGTATTTCTATATGTGCAGCAGTGTTTTAAGATTTTTTTTTATTTTTTTATTCCCATTACAATCCCTCCGGCACCAAAAATCAGTGGTGATCATCCCTCATTTTCCTTTCTTAAAGGTAAGAAACCTTACACTGGAAAAAATCTAAATCTAGATAGGTCATTTTTTTTCTTAAAATAATTGCATTTGTTCTTGGAATGAGGTAAAAGAGACATTTCGCCAATGGAACAAGACAATTTCCACTTGAAATAAGAAAAAACAAATGCATTGTCTTCAAGTCAATAAAATTTCAAGTGCATATTATCTAATTATCTTATTTAAAGAGTGAAAATACTAATTCCATTGGCAAACTATCTCATTTTCCTGCTCAAATTAAGGTTAAATACGCTTAATTTAAGAAATTTTTACTTATTTTTAGATTGTTTTCCCAGTGTACCTCTACGTTTCTCAGCAAATATTCTTTGACAGAAATGTGCAGCAGGCTGCTGCCACCTGCAGGACAGAAACAGAACAGTAACCAGTCTAACCTTGCCCAGGGGGTGAGGTCCATCCACAGTGTGCCCGTCATCATCTGGTCCCCAGCTACAAAATGTGTAAAAGTCTATGTTAGCATCCCAAAAACCTTTTTGTTACTTTATAGACCAAATTTAATAATTTCAAAATTAAATGAATTCAGTCAGGGACGGTTACCTGCAACTGTAGATGTCATTTATTTGGTAGTGCTTGTTAAAGGCTATGGCCTCTAATCTGTCTGTCAGAGGCCCGTCCAGGACTCTGATACCTGTACAGAAAGCAGGGTTGAAAAGATGGAGGATTGGCTCATAAAACCTGCCAAATAAGGTTTAACAGAAACTGCTGGCTGTGCCGTTACCTGCCACCTTGCTACCGTAGGCCACCCCCACAGCGCAGAAGCTGTTGTTGGGAACGGCTGCGATCTCGCCGGCACACCGAGTCCCGTGGTGGTTGTCACTGTGGAAGTCAGGGTGAGGCATCGGGTCTGGGTCATTGGAGTTCAGGTCGTAACTGCCCTCCGGACTCTAAAAGGGACACAAAAAAAAAAAAACACTCATGGTAATGAAACCTTGATGGGCTTTTTTCCCCCTGTTGTTTGTTTTTGAATTGAACTAAATGGAGGTAAGGTTCGGTCAGGATGAGACGTGGGATGATAAACAGCATATAAAGGCAACTTTCATACAAACCTCTAATCATACAAACTTCAGTGTAGTTTGCTGAGATTTTTGCATGATAGCTCAAAATAAGGTGAACCCTGAAGCAGAAAGCAAATTATCTCATGCTCATAAAATACAAAGTTAAAAAGCAGGTTGTCTGCAGCAACAATCGGCCCTCAGACAGGAAATCTTTCCAAACCTTTTGAGAGAACACGTGGGTTTGGAGAAAACAAACACGGGGAATGAAGTAGGCCCAAAGGAGAGAGGATGTGGGCTCATTTTATCAGAGAAAATAAAGGAATGAATAGAAAAGGCGTTGCTTAAAGGAGTGCAGGGAGTATGGACACCAGGTGCTACACAAGTGTTAAGAAACGTTAATAAATGGTGTTTTAAAGTGTAGCTTCTCTGGTTGAATACAGTTGAAGTCAACAAGCACTTATTTCGTTGGATGTATACGTCTTCAAGTTGCAGTTTTATCAACTAATGGGTGTGCAGATCAAAACAGAGCAGTCCAGCTCACTGGGTAACATAATGAAGAGAGAATGAGAGTGGGGGTGTTATAGACATCTGCTTCCTTGATCGTCCTTGGGGAACAACACACAAGCTAAGATATCGGACCAGAGAGAGTCTAAAATATTTGAGTTCCCGGATTTGTGAGCAAAGAGATCCTGTAGTTCCTCTGACCAGACCCCATTACTCTAAAAGGGCTACAGGGGTTGACGTTAAGGATTTTTACTTTCACATTTCATTTACCCAGAAACAATTTTTACTTGCCCAGTATAATGTTTGATAAATATAGTTCCTAACATTCATTTTTGTATATATATCAATGAAACATCTTTTTTTCTTTTTTTTATGTTTTTTGTATTTCAGTATTTTTTAAGTTTCCAGGTTCCTGGTGTGTATATGCATGCTTCAGATAATGAACTCAAGCCTACATTACCGTGTTAACATGCTTTTCAAACCTTCCTGCACATTCTTTTCAAACTAAACTTTGCTTTAAACTGTTGTGTGCTTGGAAAAATATAAATTGTAATGTTAAAAATCTAAAAAAAAAACTTGACAGGTTAAAATCTTACACTACTACTACTCACCAATTTAACACGTTTAGCTCTATAACATTTAAATGCACCACTCCAATTTCTAAGAGAAAAATTTTTTATGAACATTAAATGTAAACATAAAAGAATATTTTTCCAGTGAAAAAACTATTACAACTTACACCATGTCTGATTTTTTTAATGAAACATTAAATTCTAAATGTATGTATTTTTTAACTTAAGGTCGAAAGTCTTTTTGAAATAAACATTTTAGAATACCATAAAAACTTTTCCGAAAACCAAAGGTAACAACATCGATCATCTTAACATCTATAATGGCAGTAAATCCGGAGGAAATCAGTTTAAGCAAAGTTGATCCATAAAGGTTTTAATAAACTGTGTGGAGCTAACATTTAAGCACGAGTCAGCCAAATGCGTTTGCCTCGTGAAAAGGAGTCTGGTCAAATACAAGTGGTGATATCCATGGAACGGGGTAGCACTGCCGCCTTGCAGCAACAAGGATCTGAGTTCGATTCTTAGCCCTTTCTCTTCCTTTCTGCATGTAGTTTGCATGGTTTCTCTCCGGATCTTCCTCCCACAGTCCATAAACATGACTGTTAGGTTAATTGGCTTCTCTAAATTGTCCTTAGGTGTGAATTTGTGTGTGAATTCTTGTGTGTCTACGTGTTGCCCTGCGATGGACTGTTGACCTGTCTAGGGTGTACCTGCCTCTTGCCTGTAGGTAGCTGGAGTTAGGCACCAGCACCCCTCAGGACCCCGCTTGGGATAAGCTTGACAGAAAATGGATGGATGAACTCAATGAATTTATTAGACAGAACCTTTGGTCCCAATATTAACGCCGTGCATAATCAAGTACGAACACAGCCGCTCGTAAACTGGTTCTTTAAAGCAACAGTGACTCCCTCTTTAATAAGTCATCAGTAAAGTCTCAACTTTCCAAGAATACAACCCATGAAGGGACGATGCTGGAACATGTCTGTGTCCTGAACCATTTTCCCCTCCAGTATTGTCAACCACATTTCATAGACTTTTAAGCAGCAACTTATCCGTTTAAAACAACGCACAAATGAAAGCATTTGCAAAAAATTAAAATAAAATAAGAAAGAAAAATATCTGGCTTGTTTTAAAGTAATTAAAACTTCTTCCTTGGAGAGAAAATATGTAGGAAACTTGTTATTGTCATTGACCTACTTTTGCCGACGGCAAAAATGGGCGTCGTTCCGTCGGCAAGGTATCAGGCGAAACGCAATTAACAACTAGAAAAAGTGACTCCTTAGACCTTTGCTATCATTTCAGAATTCAATTATCATGTTTTTAGATCATTAAACCCTCCTTCTTCTTCATCATTCTTTTTCATTGCAGCAAAATACAGTCTGTATCCTATAAAACATCTCTGTTTAATTAGCTATAAAATTCTCCTTGCTTCTCTCATGCAACAGGCTGCAAGATCAGCTTTGATTATTCAAACAGCCCTTTCAACTTAACCGCAACATACAAAAGGCAGAACATTTCTTAAAGACAAAGTACGCAGATCATAACAAGGCCAGTACTCTTCCAGAACATCAAACCCAGAGTTGGAATCAAAATCTAGACTTACGTAGTTGAGCTTGATGTCCTGGTGGGTGTGCTCCACACCATCATCTACAACCACAACGGTGACCCCCTGACCAGTGATGTTGTGCTCCCACACTCCTGTGACGTTGATATCCATGCCTTTGTTCATTTTATTATGCTGTAAAACCAGGAAGACGTTAAATAAAATTGAGCATGTTGACGATAAAGAGATCAAAGGCAGCTTTTTTGGGGCAGTTTACCTTGAAATAAGCTTTTATGTTTTTACACACCAGTGTTTTAAACCTTCGGCTTCTGCAACATTTTTGCTTAATTTTTTTTACTGATTTTTTTAATATAAATGTCGGTGTATGATCTCATAATTTACAGCAGTTTACTATTTCAACCTAAGAAATGCATACCCTAAACATATCCCTAAATCACCTACTTTGGTTAAAGCTTATTTTAATGCCATTGCTTCAGTGCATTTGCTCTATAGATACATGCATGTATATATAAATCAATAGTCTGAGATATTTACAGGAAGGGCAGCAACTCCACTGTCTTTCTGGATTCCAGTTTCTGATGAGAGTTATGATCTAACGGTTAAAACTAAAACATATGTTCCAGTTGAATATTTACTTCAAGCACATGTCAGACCTGGATAATATAGCAGCCTAACAATAAGTTACAAAGAAATCTAGTAATTATATATTATATATACCGTATTTTCACGACTATAAGGCGCACTTAAACGTCTTTTTTTTCCCTCAAAATGTGCGGTGCGTCCTTTGGTGCGGTGCGCCTTATGTGTGTTGTAACTGCGACTTTTGAGACCACCTCATTGAGGAGATGATGAAAGAGTGGCTGAATGTAAGGAGACCAGGTGTTTTTTTCCACTCATCACCATCGCTGTTAATATGTAACTCCATGCGTGCCCATCTCACAGCTGATGTGAAAAACATGGGGAAACAAATTAACCCTGTGCTCGCTGTTCAACCGCTGGACATCGGTGTGAACCGGACCCAGCAGGTGCAGCAGAAGCAGCGAGTTTACATGCAAAGTCAATGGTTGACGCGCGTATAGGCGCAGCAAAAGGTCCTGCAGCGCGTTTTGAGCTGCAGGTGCAACTCGTCGGGAGCGCGCCGCCAACGCGCTGCTGCTGCTCGAGATGGAAAAATTGAAGTTTTGCTGCTGGACACGCCGCATCAACCAATCAGAGAAGCTGATCTGGGAGCTGACAGCGAGACAGACACAGCGCTCTGATGACATTAACGCAAATGAAAAAGGCTGGATGGATGAGAAGATGATGAAAGGCAGGTGTATGTGAGGAGACCAGGTGCTTTTTTCCACGCATCACCATCGCTGCGTGCCCATCTCACAGCCGATGTGAAAAAAAGGTGAATCAAAAGAACGCTGTGCTCGCCGTTATCCCGGGGGTCTGACAAAGGAACTTCAACCGCTCGACATCGGTGTGAAAGCGGCCGTTCAAAGTAAGGCTGCGAGCGGCGTGGGAGCGATGGGTGACAGACGGAGACCACAGTTTCAGGATAAGTGGAAGGCAGCGCCGGGCAAGTTATGCCACCGTTTGCGGATGGATTGTTGATGCTTGGACTAACGTGTCTGCTGGCTCTATTGTTCAAGCTTTCGCAAAAGCAGGCATTATTTCTGAGGAGCCGCGCTGCACGGAAAGTGACTGACAGCGAAGAATGGGAAATTGGCATGTCTGATTTAGCGCAGCTGTTTAATTCAGAAACAGAGGATGATGACTTTGATGGGTTTGATTAATACTTTGTAATAAATACATGAATAAAGCAGAAACATACTCAGTTTTGCTCCCGCTCTATTTTTCTACCTGAAAACTTAATTCAACAGCAGCCTCTGGGCGGGTCTCCTCCTCTTCAGCGCGGTGGCTGGCAGGTGTTTTTCATCTAAATAATCTAAATCTTGCAGCTATATTTGCTGTGATCAGTGGGAATAAAGTAGTTTTAATATGTTTTTAAGTGAGAAAGGCCACCTGAAAACTTAATTGCAGTCAGTTCATCCAGATTATCTATTTCTGTCGGAGGCGCTCAGACCCCCACATACCAGCGGTGCACCGACAGTAGAAATCCCTTCAACAGCAGCCTCACCGCGGCGGCTGGCAGGTGTTTTTCATCTAAATAATTTACAGTGCAGGCACCAGGATACCGGCAATAAAAGCGAACATATTCCGTCGGCAGGTTTCAGGATTTTAAGTTAATTTAGGAGTAATCACAGCGCTGTGTCATCTGCGATGTGTCTGTCTCATGGCCAGCTCGCAGGTTTGATTAATACTTTGTAATAAATACATGAATAAAACACAGTCATACTCAGTTTTGGGCCCGCTGTATTTTTAAAATACGCAGTAGAGCTATTTAAAGGTAGTAGAGGACATGTACCTGTATATAAAAAATGCGCCCTATAGTCCGGTGCGCCTTATGTGTGTGTTAAATACAGAAATGGGACACATAACTGAGACTGCGCCTTTTAGTACGGTGCGCCTTATGGTCGTGAAAATACGGTACATATATTCACATATTTTGTTGATGTATTTTTTATGATCTCACCAGGTGCCACTGTTTAGGGTAGTTGGGGTCGTTAAAGGCCAACGCCCTCTTTGACCGACTGAGCACTCGCTCCTTGGAGAACCACAGGACATGAGGATGCGTTGCCAGAACATCTGCTGGTTGGACGCTCCTTTTCCAGATGCCGCCAAAAAATCCTGTGTCAGCTTTTACTGAGCAAAGCAAATAGTGGCCTTCTAGCTCTCCAATTTGACCCTGGTTCTGCAGGCCCGCCTGCTTCGCTACCTGAATTGGAAAAAATCAGATTGTTTTTCCTTTAAATAAAAGCAATAAACCTAAAAAACAACAAAAACAAATGAACAAACAAAAAGATATAAGTGGATTTTATAATAATTTTTGTAATAGTTAAAAAGAAGGACAAATAGGATAAACCTGCCAAAAATTCTATATCGTGTTTAGATATTTTCAAATTAGTAGAAACACCACCTATTTTTTTTCTTGTTTAACTTTTCCAAACACTCATTTTAGAGCAGCTTTTAGGCTTGTATAGAGGAGTATAGGCTTTCCTTCCATCTAACAATGAATTAAAAAGCTAAACATAAAGCAGAGCTTTGCTAGTCAAAACAGAGATTCCCCATAAAGTAATTTTGTGGTTGTGATAAGCCAACATGTGCGAAGGTTTATCCGCTGTGGATACTTTTTTTATACTGTGAGCTTGTCCTGAACTCAAAACAAAAAGAAAAAATCACCATGCAAATGAATTTACTGCACCTCTCATGCAATTTGCTTTTGACGTATGAATACAGGAAAAACACAAATCTCTAAGTTATGTAAATGTTTCTGTTGATATTGCATGAGAAAAAAAAAGAAATGCTTTTAAAAATTCTTTAATTATTTGCTGGAGGTTTCTTCCTGTTAAAAGGGAATTTTTCCTCTCTACTGTCGCTACAAGCATGCTTAAGGGCAATTTATGCTTCTGACGTATAGCTTCTGCAACCGTAAAATCTGTCTCTGTGCGCGACCACAACCCCCATGCAGAGGTTCTGTAACCATCGTCGCACACCTCAAAAAAATCCTGACTACACGTCGGACGGCTGCAAAGCCGCAAAGACCTCAAGCGGAACTGCGCAGACCAAAAGCAGCTGTGATTGGTCCTTGATATGCCTTTCCGGCTGTCTGTGTGGTCGTCCTTCTCGATTCGGTGCCGGGGCGCGCCATTTTTAAAAACCGAGGAACAATGGACAACTAGGACGAAAGGTTAATTGGTATTTCTGCCAACTCCATTAACAAAACCTGTTCCTCTTCAACGTCTAGCAACTATAGATCCATCTCTGCGACCGTGATATCTTGCAAACGCGCCATTGTTGTTTTGGAAGATAAACACACCCACCAGCGCAGCGAAAGTTCTCGTGACCATCCGTCGAAGTTCTTGTGAGTTCTCGAATAAGCTCCTCCTTGCGCTATGGCGGGAAACGTCTGTGCGTTCTATAGATATTCCAGACCGACGGTGCAGAAGCACTAGCCTGACGTAGTCCGACTCAATTCTAGTCAGAATATGAGTCTGATGCTGCTCCATAGAGCTGTGATTATGGGGCGTGTTTCGAACGAACCAGGAAAGAAAATGCCTCTGCACTCAATTGGATAGATCTACAACCAATAAGAGCAACGGAGTGCGTGACGTATGTTAAGCAAGGCATAGTTGTTGCCCACAAAAATCAAAGCGTGCAGTTTCACGCCTAGAATAAGAAGATGAGACTTGATCGCATTTTCTCTGTTCCTCTTTTAAAATTAATTTGCTGTCGATATCTTCTAGAACAGACCTAATAGCAGAATCTACTCACCCAAACTCTCCAGCGGCAGCCATTATTGTTGTCACCCAAGCGCGCTTTGGTCACGTGGTTGATTACGTTACACTTGATCATCTGTCCATCATCGTATAAAGCCCGCCCTGACAATTTGATTGGATCGCCTGACAGTGGGCGATAATACTCGCACTACTATGGAGCAGAGCCAGACCGAACCTCCCCGAACTCAAACCTTGTGGGCGGGACTAAGTTCGGACTGGCACCCAGGCTACAGAAGCACAGCAGCAAAACTGGTTCACGACCAGACCTAAGCGACATTTGATGTGTGAGGATGCCTTTTGATGTTTGTGATGTGCCCTTTAGTGTGAGGGATTGCATTCGAGTCAATGAGTCGATGCAATCAACCGATTTTCTTTAGATAGAAAACTTTGAATCAATTTGACTGGATGATCTGGTGAACTGTAAAGTGCCATGAGATGACATGTGTTGTGAATTGGCCCTATACAAATAAACTGAATTAAATTGAAAATGGTTAAATGTGCTACCATACCTTGTCAGCGATCACATCCAGGTGCATTGAGCCTGCTCTCTCATCATCCTCTTCTTCATGGCTGTGGTGGATCCGGACAGCCCAAGACTGACCTGGCCCACAGGATGGCCATGATGAGGATAAAGAAGAGGTAGTTAAAGGGTGGGATGGGCTGACAGCTGGCAGAAGGGTGAGCAGCAAAAGCCCTAATGAGGACACAAAAATGAGGAGGAGGAATGTGGGGAAATAGGGCGCTGCCATGGCAAGGAAGAATGACAAAGCTGGTCCACCAGGCAAGCCCTCTTCATCTGAGCAGCAATCTGGAAACAGAACATGAAAGATTTTTTATTAGTAAAGACAATCTGAGAACGACGGTCTGGTTGCCTGACATCAGTGTGTTACATTCAGAGGGAACTTCCCAAAAATCACAGCATCGCTTCAACTAGATTCCAACTTAGAAACATGTGGTTAGCACACCGATGGCTATAAACCAAACATTTAGCAAGCACTACAGAGGGAAAAAAGACCTTAACATATGAAAAAAATGCCACTGCAGCATTAATTAGAGCAGAAAAGGGGCAAAATGGATTCGGTTTATAGCTGCGTTTATATAAAAATTCAGACGGTGAAGGCAAATCTCTTGAGCAGCGATGTTTACGCCTTTGAAACCTTTCATTTTGATCATCTGCCTTACATCAACAATGGCGTTAACTATTTAGCCTATACTCCAGTTCGTTGTATCTATTTACTCTTCGCTAACGCAACGTTTATAATCACTTTATCCATTATACCACATTTACGGATAATAACACATAAAAACACACCATAGCTCTAATAGGGGAAAACAACTCGCCCGCATTGTAGTATTTCTTTTAGCTGTGTAAGCAAGTTAGCTTTTTCATGCTAACGAGATTGAAATTGATTTACAAAAAGCCTAAATATGGCTGACAACAATAGTTTATAGCACAAAGAAAACTATATCTTACTTTTTTCTACGAAGGAGCTTTAGATTAGGTCGAGAAATTATAATACTAGCGTTATCGCTGAGCTTGGTACTTCATTTCCGTAACCAGAGCCCCTCTGGTCTATACGTAGTACGTCATACCGACTGCGTAATCATATTGCGTGATATTTGATTGGCCCAGAGCCACCACCGCTTGAGAGATAGTGGGTACATTCCTTTACTGTCAGCCGGGAGATGACCCGGTCAGAAGATATGAAGGTGGGATTTTTTATTTATTTTTTTTTTCAGGCGCAATGGAATCAAATTTACGGAAGATGATTAGGGCCAGTGATAAAATAAAAAAAGTTAATAGATTTTAAATATTATTTTAGTTTAATATGGGGAAAAAGTCAGAATTCTGACTTTAATCTCAGAACCAAAAAGTACAGTCTACCCAGATGTTCAATTCAGCGTTATTCAAAAATATGTATTTCACAACTGGCAGGAGACGTTTTTATTGATTAATAACATAATAAATCGCTCAGACATGTCAAATCTGTACGGAAGAGGATTAGGGCCACTGGGGAAAAAAGGTTAACTGATTTTTACATTTTATTTCAGTATAATATGACAAAAAAATCAAGAATTCTGACTTTAATCTCAGAATCCTGGCATTAAAGTCAGAAATCTGAGAAAAAAGTCAGAATTCTGAGATTAAAGTCAGATAAAAGATTTAACTTTTATTAAATCTTGAAGATAATGCTACAACTTCTGTCTATATGATTGGAGATTGTAATGCTGACTTGGCAGACAATTCTGTTTTTGAAAATAACTAAATGCAGGTTTGTAAAGAAAGTCATTCTCTCAAGCAAAGTTCTCCTCCTAAATAGTAGCTTTACCTTTATTAGTGAAGCTTGGCATTCCACCTCCTGGATGATCACTGTATTTGTACACAGATTCTTCTGCTTCTCTGGGTCTTGTTGAGATTTTGTGCAGATATGCTATGTCTCATAATATACCATTGTGTATGTCTTTAAATGTCGATAATATACCAGTGGTTGTTGAAAAAAAAATATTCGTCAAGCATACAACCGGGCCCAACCAGTACATTGGCAGAAAATTCTATTAATAAATGCTTAAATAAGACAGATGTGTTACTTTAGAGGATCAACATACAGGCAGGCAGGGACATGGACTAAACCGAACCACAAAAAGGAAATAATAGTGAACTCTGTATAGATTATCATGCAAGTCCTTTAGGACAGTAGTATGTGTTTTTTCAGAAACAGAAATCTAAAAATCATTATGCTAAACCTGGATGGAATAAATTTGTTGCTAAGCAACACATTGAAGCTTTTCGCCTTGATTTGAGCAGGTTTGTAAGATTTTTTTCATTTTTTTTCAAGAGCATCATATCTTAACAACTTATTACAAGGTCAAAAACACTAATTCATTTGGCAGATTATCTTTTTTACCCTTTTGAATTTAGAGTGTATACACATATTCTAAGAAATCTTTACATATTTAAATCAGATTTTGCAGCATGATACAAAATTAATTTCATTTGATGACATGTGCTGATAAAAGAGATTTTAACTGATTCATCCCTTGGACTAATTTGATATTTCACCTTTACAAATTACTTTAACAAGTGAAGAAATCACAGTTTTAAGCTTCAGCTATATTAAAATAGAATCACAGCTATTATTTGTTAGATCAGAGTCTAATTGATGCGCTTTTCCCCTGTTTTTTTGTCATTTTTTTCTTTTGTTGTGTGGCCCCATCCTGGTCCACCTGATATCTTTTGTCCACAACCAACACTGTCGTCAAGTATAGTTGGAAATATCTCGGTATCTATGTGACAAAATTCTGTCTCTTAGGCAACAGTTAAACTTTCAAAGGGATCTTTATAAATATAGAAGGCTGTTGTCTTTAAAAGCTGAAGGACTTTCAGTGCTTGTTTACTATGCACTCTCACTTTATATAAAGGATAAAATATGTAAAGAAATGGACAGTTTGGAAGAATAAACGCACCATCTAAAAGAAAAAATACTTTATCTAAAAGAAGCCAAGGGAAATCAATTATATGTATCAAAAAGGGTTTAGGGTTTCTAGAATCTGTACTGAATTTTATGCCAGACAATATATAGTATTTAATATGCAATGTAGGTTATAGTTTTTAAAAGGTTGTATCTTCATTGTCTCCAAGTTTGTTTTAAAACTCTCAGAATCCTACGAACATGCCTTACTTTCTTGGATATAGGGTCACAAACACAACCTTTCCCCACATAAGAAATAATTTGGAACAAAGGTAATATTAATTTTGAAGGCAAAAGCTTATATAAAAAAGAATTTGTTGCAGAAGTTTCTGATGAAAAAGGTCGTATGTACACTCGGAAAAAGGCATGGAGGTTTGACTCTCTTGACTTTATTTGAAATAAAAAAAGGAGGTCGATATAAAAAGCTTTCACAAATTCAATTCAATTTCAATTCAGTTTATTTCTATAGCGCCAATTCACAACTCACATCATCTCAAGGCACTTTACAGTTCACCAAATCAAACAGTCAAATCGACTCCATGATTTCCATCTAAGGAAAACCAGTTGATTGCATCGACTCATTGACTCAAAGGCAATCCCTCACACTAAGCATGCTTGTAGTACTTGGATCTACTTTTCATTGGGCCTTCATTTTCTATATTAACATTTTTTATTGGTTTTATTTCATATTCTAAAAACATGGTGCAAAAAACGCATTGATATGGAAGATCAGAGGATTGATATATATTGTGCAAATATACAGTATTTTAATTTTTTTTCAACAGTTCAGCTGTCTGATGGCAGTGGGGAAGAAATTGTTGTGGAATCTGCTGGACCTTTTTTACTACTGCTTTTTTACTTTATTTATGAGGATTTATGTCATGATCTGGCCTGTTTGCTCCTCCTTAATTAGTAATTCCTTTCACCTGTTGTTTTCCCTCCCTGCCTCTATTATAATTTATTCCTGTCACCTGTTTCCGCTTGGTTATATTCAGTTCAGCCTTAGCATTCAGGGCCAGATCATTATTTGTTTTCTGTTAGCCTGTCTGTTATTTTGATTCCTTGGTTCATGTTTTGAAACCTGGCGGCCAGTGGAAAGAGGTTTTTGTGTTTGTCTCGTCTCCTGATAGTCCACTGTTCCTCCCCCGCTGAGTCCTCTGGGTTTTTGGCTCTATATGTGGGGAGGTTCAGCTTTTATTTCATTAAGCCTGGCTCCGGGGAGGAGACCAGTTTAAAGTCCTGCATCAAGTTCTGGTTCCACGTCCTGTCTCGGCTACCCTCTTCCACTGAGCCTGCTCATCTGCATCTGATCCTGTCTGCTCCTGTACGTGACCACCTGGTCACGCTTTCGGACCCTGTCAGACTCAGAACCTGCCTGGGAGCTTGTGGATGCCTGGAAGTCTGGATCTTGCCATCTGTCTGTTCAAGCCTGATCTGGATCCTGTTCCTGTCTGTTCTGGATCCCTGACCAGGATCGGCTTCCAGCATGTCCTCTGGGACTGCAGAACTTGGGGACATTCTTGGACTGGACTGTTAAACCAGAGTGTCTGTGATTGGGCGGTGCCCCGCTCCCCATCCTGCTGTGTCCGCGAGCCACAGCTCCACTTTAGTTTTTGTTTTATTTAATAAACCTTTTTGAACTTTCCTACTGACTGTCTCTCCTTGAATACTGGGTCCATCTGTCCTCGGTTTCATGACAATATAAATAAAGGAAACATTCTACAGTTAGAAGAAGGACTTTATTGGTTCAACAAAGCTGCCAGCACCTGACAGATAAATATCCAGATCTGATTTTATCTATGTACAGTTTTTATAGAGACAACACAAACCGTCCCTGACAGACAAAAGTCATGTTTCCCAGTAAATAGCATCTTCTGGGCTGGTTTTTACTTTTAAAGCAGTTATGGTCCCAGTTGAAAACATATTAGGCTGTTAGTGTATCTGTGACAGCAGCCCTCTTTTGTTAGCTTGTTACATGTGCAAATCATCATCAGACATGTGCAGCAGTAGTTCTGCGAGGGTAAACACTCTCTGTGATCTTTGTCTGTGCAAATAGACGATCTGGAGCGCACAAAGGTTATGTACAGCAGATATATTTAGGCTTTAATCAGTAGAGGAAGAAAAGAGATGACATCTTACATGGATCTGTCTCTTGGTCATATTCTGCAAAAAAACAGATTACATATGATAAATGCTTTACCTTATATTATGTTAAATAGCCTCTTTATGTGTACAATAATAGCTTTTTTCCAAGAATTCTTCACTGACATTTGCATTTATCTGTTATTTCTTTTGACCTTCTCATATACTCTTCGTGTGCAGGACGGCTGTGCAAACACATGGCAGGCTCCAACGGTAAACGTCATCAACTCAAACGCTACAGAAGCACACACGTGACCAAATTTCCAAGTCATGCCGACCGAATTACAGCTGGACTTCCAGTCTCTAATACACATTTTATTGTTTTTTATTAAATTACCCGATCAAAGCACAGTAGAGGTAAGAGTGATATTAATCATCGTTACTTTCATTTTTTTTTTTTTACATAATCTTTGTTAGAGATCTGATTCTTTTGCATTAGTTCCTTACATCATGCTGATCTGCATAGATACAGAAGCTGAAACAGAGAAAGTGTAAACTGACAGCAGCACTGTCTCTGGTCCTGTTTAAGTTCAAAATGGCTCTTTGTTGTCCTTCCGAATGACCTGATGGCAGCAGTCTGCATTTCTACTGAATTCCTGAAGAATCTTTTTCAAGCTTTCTTCGGAGAGCACCGTCATTTCGTAAGGAGCCACCTTGCATGTCACCCCTCCGTCCCTTTATTTCAGGAGCGATATGTCATCGGCGAAGTCCCCGTGTGGGTGTAGGCAGCGGGCGAAGCGCCACTGGCACACCATGAGACACAGAGGCAGCATGAAGAGGGCGCAGATCCCCGCCATGATGTAGGCGATGGTCATCAGGGTGGATTCGTCCGTCTGAGGGATGTTGTAGCCGCAGTCTTCCAGGTCCACGCCGTGGAACGGGCCCTCCACAGAAGCCGTGCGAAACTTGTCGTGCACTGAGCAAGGGAAGAACATAAACATCAAGGATTAATGATTTTTATTTTTAGTTTTTTTTTCTCCCTT